CACACAGCACAACAGCAACAACAACCACAACAACCACAACAACAGCAACAACAACAACAAAAACCACAACAACAACAGCAACAACAAATAAATACTACATCCTCGTCATTCAGTATGAAACCACCCTTGAAATGAACAACACTTTGAAATTATATTTCCAAAATTAATTATCCCCGCTAAACTCCAAAGCCATATAACTATTTATATTAAAAACAATAGTTATTCTAACTCCATTGTTGGTTGGTTGCTTTCTTCATGCAAAATTGAAACAATCATTTTCTAAAAATAAAAATTGAATGAGATTTCGTGAGATGGATCCAACTTGAAGCTAATTATCATCAACCTTTGGACAATCGTCCAACATTTTTGTGAAATTTTTTAGCTGCTAAATTGACAACACAAAGGCATTAAGATACAAAAATATAAAAACAACTAATTCAAAACCAAAAACATGGCAACATAAATTGCCTAAATATTAAAGACGGCACTAGAATTCAAGTGACGCTTACAATCCAAGAACTGATTCTTACAAGGCCATCCTGATATAGCGAGAATGACAAACACTCCATTCAACATCAACAAAAACAACAACAACATTACAAAAAGTCGGATGTTGGCAACAATATTAGGCAACACATCAACATAAACAACAAACAAAACACAACTTGTAAAGTAAACTTATAGAACAAAACTTATAAAATAAAACTTATAAAACGAAACTTATAAAATGAAACTCATAAAATGAAACTAATAATGATTTGCTAACAATAACAACAGCACCAAACAACCCCAGAGATAATAATAATCTAAACATCCAGCTCAAGCGATCACAATCAATAAAAAATTGAACCTCGAGCAAAATTAGGAAATAAATTACAACAAAAACACAATTTTCCAATTAGCACCAATTAACCAGCAACACCACATACCCACATTTAACAACAAAAACAACAACAACAAAAACATCATCAAAAGCAAAAACAACGGCAAACAACAACACCAACAAACAGCAACAACAACATCAACAACAACAACATCAGCAACATCAAACAACAATAATAACAACATTTGCAACAACAAACAACAACAACAACAGCAGTAACAACAACAACAGAACAGTGTGGTTGTCAGAGGATATATGACTCTTTAATGCTTCTCCATCCATCATAGACATTATTTATGCCCTCCCTATCATATTCACGATCTTTGTGATCAATTTTTCCCACCGGAAGTTGAACGTTTGTGAGCGTCACGTGACCGAGGATTCATCCTGATAACTTGTTGCTGATGTTGTTGCTGTTCTTGTGGTTGTTGTTGTTGTTGCTGATGATTTTGTTGTTGTTATTGTTGCAGCTGCATTTGTTTACATGCCCGAATGACATATGCTTTTTCTCTGAGATATTTTTGTTTATTCTTTTTTTTGGGAAGTTTTGAAGATTATTTTCAGAATGATAATGGTGATGATGATGATGATGATAAGGATGATGATGATGATGATGATGATGATGATGAGGTTCACAACAATGTTGTTATTGATAATCATAATGATAATTATCGTCGTCATCGTCATCATTATCATCATCACCATCGTCATCATCAGCATCACCATTAAGAAGATCTTGATCCTGACAATATACATGATGAAGATAATGATGATGATGACGATGATGATGATGACGATGATGATGATGACGATGATGATGATGACGATGATAAAGCCTTAGTTGCCCAAGTCGGTAATGATGTGTAATAAATAAAAATTGTATTGGTGCTTCAAATATTTTCGGCCTGCGTTCTTCACAACTTAAAAAAGTAAACAAAATAAAGTTGAAAAAAGATGTGAGAGGTAGAGAAGTATTTATGGAGCTGTTGTGGTTCGTTCAATGATTTATACTTGCAGATTCGCCTCGCGAACATCATACATTGGTCAGTTCAAAGTAATAAATACGAAACAACTGTTGCTTGCTTGCCTGCTCCTATACATCACATTTTCAACTCTTTTTTTCTCTCTCTCTCTCTCTTTCTCTCTCTCTTCTGTTCTTTTGTTTATGTGAGGAGTGATTCCATTTCCATGCCCTGCCTGTTCTCTGGAGGTCTGTGGTGGTTGTTGCTGTTGTTGTTGTTGCTGCTGTTGTTGCTGTTGTTGTTGTTGTTGTTGTTGTTGTTGCTACAAAACAACGTGTTTTACGTGCATTGCAAAATCACATACAGGAGCCTTTGATCTGACTCTACAAGTACACCAGATTTCACATCTCAATTCCACCCACGCAACAGACATTCTCTGAACATGCCACCTCCACTAAGACATTGGGTGGTGTTTTTTAATGACTCCTATATCACAATTTGTGGCATAAAGTTTGTCTCTTTGAAACGACTTGCAAGACTCTGCAACACAGAAACACTCAGATAGTATTGAAAATTTAGAAAGATTTCTAACCAACTTAATGCTACTTTCAATTTCACGACCTATGGAATTTTGACACTCAGCAAAAATAACGTATTGATGATGTGATGGATGATTTTATTTTATATTCACGTGGCAGACTGCTCTCCTTACAACACTAACAAAGTTCAACTTTAATTTTACTTCTCAAAGCACATTTTCAACTGGAAAAACAAAAACCACAATTCTCATACTATTTCGCGAACGTCCTAACATAAAAACACGATGTATAAATACTCACACACTGACATACATCCTCAACAAACTGGCATATATTGCAGCACAAACTCACAGAATGAATTTTTCATCGCATGTCTTCTCCTCCACAAAACACCACACCAACCAGCAAACATAACAGCCACATTCTTGAAATCGCACAGAAACCCACACACAGTCTGACACAGTCACACACAGACATACACAGTAACACACAGTCACACACAGACATACACAGTCACACACAGTCACACACAGACACGCAAATACACAGACAAAGACAGGCTCGACAACGACACTGGCATATAAAACTTCATGCAAACAGGCACAACAGCAGTCCATTCTCATTTAAGAAACCTTCGCAACACCATAACGTAGCGGCTCTGTAATTTGAACTAAACGCCAGATCAATATAAATAACATTCATTATGAGCTGCTCAGTTGAAATACATGTCTTGTTACAGATATAAAGAAGATATGATGCATGCATGCATAATGTTTTCAATAAAAACATTTATACGTATTCGTACGTGAGATGCATGCAATCGAAACAACTTGAAATACCAGTTGGAAGCTGGCAAGGACCACATTACAATGTGTGAGGTTGTGGCTGTTCAACCAAGTCACATAATAGCAGCAGGTTGTTACAGAAAAATAAATTTTAAATTTAATACAACTAAATATTGTACAAAACTTTAAAACAATGCACAACAGAGCATTCAGCAACAACAGCAACGTTATTTACTACAACAAAAGCAAAAACATAGCGTACAACATCATAAACAACATCATCATCACCATAATCAACAACAACATTAACTCATTAACAACGAAACATACAACCACAACAACAACTACTTCAACGACTACAACAACAACAGCAACAACAGCAACAACAACAGCAACGAGACATTGCATTCCCTGACGTAGCACGTGATTTCCTGATTCAACTTGCTTTCGCCAAAGAGAAGCGAGCACTTCGTGGAGTAGTGCTTTTAAATTTATATTTGCTCATCCAACAGTGCACATACGTACATGCAGTGTACATACATACGTACGTCGTACATGCAGATGTATCTTGTGTTGTATCTTG